ATTAACGACTTTTGACTGTATTTGTTTTCAACTAATGATTTTATGTTGCTACATGATTCCAGATAAAATAGCTTCCTTATTTAAATCAGTTAGGATTTATCTTAATTTTTTAGGATCTATATCCTGCCTTCATGTCTTAAATCGTCTTTCTGTTTAACTATTGCATACAAATAAAATTCCGATTCATTAAGTTGAAGTTTCCTCCGTTAACAAGAGTTTCTCAGCGATTAAATTTTGTAAAATCAGTAATAACTTTTAATGGAATTAAAAATTCTAGTTATTCGTATCGAAAACATTCTAAAATAAAAATCTCGGTTCTTCACATTCTAATGAAAGCAAGGTATTTTCCAGATTTATAAATTATGAGAATTAATATAAAAATTTCAGTTCAGTTTAATTATAAGCCTGTCAAATGGATATTTAAGAAGGCATCCTTAAAGTTAGCGAGGATGAAAGTATCCCTACTGCAGTGATGTCACGAACTGTGCACAGTGGCCTAGAGTTAGTTCTAGGGGTGTTGGTTAAACCCTTTCGATTAATTTTAATTTGCAAGAGAAGCTGGAGGTAGATGATTTAGCCAACATATTTGTGTTTATGAATGAAACCATTTTTCATATTTCTGACAAAGTTAATTGCCCTAATTTACACACCTAAAATCTACACTGTGTGTTAGAACATGAGCACGAGTCTCCAAAGCTGATCGTTTTCTGCACTAATTCCAACAGCTGTGTTTGGATCCTTTTACATTCGTGGAAAAATGTAGTAAACGGTGCATTTACCGAGATATGCTAATAGAGTGGCTGTTCCCTTAGTTGGAGGAAGTGGCTACAGCAAGACAGATTCACATTTGCATAAAACCTACACCAGTATCCGAGAGATAGTCTACCCCAGGGGTTCTCAAACAATGGTACGCAAGAGAAAAATAGGTGGTACGCTAAGAGTATTTTTAACTATTAAATTCAAAAATTAAAACCCCAACATCTTGATTGAGTTTTTTCTCTAATCCTCATAAATTTATGTGATCTGAGCTTTGTTTAAGAGTGGTGGTGGTAGTAGTACTTTGCAGTGGTGGTATTAAATGTTTTCAGTTTTTGTTTAGATGGTACACGTTAGTCAAAGGTTAAGAACCACTGGTCTACCCCATCGCTGAGTCAAACACTATCTCATTGCTTTGTTTGCCACTGAAATTCCCAGATCTAACGGCTTGTGATTTTTTTTCTACGGGATTTCGTTAAAGACAAAGTGTTTGTGCCTCTATTTTCCCAAGAACTAGACAGCAACTGAAGCAGTGGATAACTGAAGTGCTCGAATCAAAGGATACATGTCACAAGAGCTATTATCGATATAGCTTCACAGTCATCGTACTTATTATAAAGGAACTATGAGCCTCAGAATTGTGAATATCCACCACATCTTTATTTGGAGAGAAAACTTGAAGGGTAATGAAGAGGAAGAAGAAAAATTATCATAGTTTCCTGTTCCCTGATTTTTATGCAAAAAGGCTACATGAAAAAAAAAATTATGTAATGATATCATTCAGATAAAGTAAGCAGCAAGCTTCAGCATAAGCATCTTCTATGATGATGCCATGTCTGACTTTAGAAATGTTTTAAAATGCAGACAGCAACAAATTACACTGTACAAATTCTGAGTGAAATAGAAGCTAACAGAATCTCAAGCAGAATCTAGTGGCATATATAAACAAATGAAAGATTAAAAAAAAAAAAAAAAAAAAAAAAAGTTCCTAAGGATAGTTACCGAATGTTTATATGAAAATTTATAGCATCACTCCCATAAACAGTGCAAATCTCACTGGCAGAAACATTAGCATGGTTATCTTTTTTAAAATAGTGCAACATATTACAGATGCTTCCTTTGATTTTTCATACTTAACACCCTTTTTGGAAGGGAAAGAAGTTTAATTTATGTAAATACACATAAACTAACATGTATATTATAATGAAAGAAATTTCTTGGATAACCCTATGCAATTTCACACCTGAAAGAGGAGACACTGAAAATGCTCACAGTAGTGCTTGCCAGCTAGAAAGATTAAATAATTAATAATGCAGATTTTAAAAATTTATTCTATAAGTCAGGGACTATGACACTATCCCAAAAAAAGTGAAACTTTTTTAACCTGTAAATACATTTGATCAATATATTTTTAACATTTGGAGGGGGGAATCCTTTCTGAATGTGTATGAAAGCTAAGCAGCAATACACAAATGCTTTGGAAAAGAAGGGAAGGGCTACATTTAAATACACAGAAATCAAGTAATCCACATATTATGGGATCAAGGATTGCGCAGATTAGTGAATTTTGGACATAACATGCAATATCTCCGAGTTTATTTAGATATTTTTTTCTTGCTAATTTCTATATCTAACTCAGACAGTCTATGTGTATTAGGAATTACTGGAGAGGGATTCAAGGTAGGAACACTTGGGGGAAAAAAGGTCAAATAAAGGTTTTTTAATTAGCAAAATTACTTTTTAAAGATCTTTTCCGATTTTAAACGAAAGAAAAATTAAGTAAAAAAATTAGCAGAACAGTCCCCCCCTTTTTTTTTAATAATTTGAATCCCTCCTTGCACTTAGCACATGCACTATTGGATTAGCAACTTGCTAGAAATGCTTAAATTGAAATTTTGGATTTGTTAAAAAAAAATTGTGTTTTTACGCTGCTGTTAAAATGGTTTTGATTTTTTAAATTTTACAAATCTCTGTAAGAACTATTTTTAAGCCGGGATTCATCACATGGAATGGAAACAAACCAGTTATAAGATGCATTTAATTTGAAACTCAGGTCTTGAAAAGGTGTGGATAAATAAATTCTTTACACATTATGACCACATAAACTTCAATTAATATTTAAAAAAAAAAAATCTGAAATGTTTCAGATTTTAAATTACGTCCAAAGGGGCGTTTTTTAACATTTTGTGTGTTACCTTTCTTTATTAAATATCATATTCCTCGCACTTAAACCATAAGATCCAGTGCAACAGCAATATCGCAAAATAGTTTTAAAACGAGCATGCATTTTAAATCTTTAGAATTTCCGATACAGAGACTCACGCGCTGGAGATAAAAATGTTTTTTCTTTTTTCTGCACAACGTTGCCATTGCTCGCTTTGAAATCCTTGAGTTTGTTAATCAAAAGTTCGTCAAAGTTTTAAAAAATAGGAAATCGATCATAAAACAAATTTCAAATTTGGTCTTTGGTCTTCCACATGCTCATATTCGTTGGAGGATTACGTTATTCAAAATTCGATGACTCTATGTACCGTTGTTTTATCACAATACGAGAAATATACATACATTTATGCAGATTTTTCATTATTTAATTTCTTCAAATATAATGCAGGACTCTAACATTTTGTGGCAACAGTTTGAAAAGTGAACCGACATTTATGAGTCCGACGCAAAATGCCAAAACGAAACTAATAGTCCTTCGGGATTCAAATCCCTTTGGACTAAAAACAGAATATACTCAAAAGCTATTATTTATCTAAAACAAAAATATTGGAAATTCATGGCCTAAGACTATTCTAAAAAGAATTACAGGAAAAATGTTAAATAATTTCAGTAATGAAGCAAACTACTTTCTAATTAAAATAAATACATTGTGCTTTTGTTAAAAATTTTATTTACATATTTATTAAAAAAATAACATTAAATTTTCTAAAAGAAAAAATTTTGTTTGTTTACATCTAAAAAAATTAGCACAGATTACAGGCATATATGGATTCTGGAATTATAATAGATAAAACATGATAAAATAACATGAATAGACAATACTAAAAATCTGCAAAAAATGGAGCGTGCTTGCAATCAACAGATTTTGATGTTTGATGCAACTGAGAGTGGAAACTACTATTTTTTTAACATTCAACTTAAAAAAAACTTAAAAAAAAAAAAAAAAAAAAAAAAAAAAAAAAAAAAAAAAACTTGAGTTTTGGATGGGGGTTTATTAAAAAATATGTGGTTTATTAACACCTTTTTGCTTTCATATACCTTGTATACCAATATTCTCCCTTTATGATATTATATAAGAAAGCTAACAAAAAATTAAATTACATCGTTTGAGCAAAATAGGCTTTCAATGGATAATTTATCTGAATTAAGAAAATACTAAAAATTTCCATGCAAGACAAAATCCATGAATATGATTAAAAGAATTAATGAATATGCATGTGTCATATACACTGCGAAAAAAAGGGGGGACAGTTCTCTATCTCCCATTCTACTGGGCAAATTGATGAAACTCAAACTGCGTTTTTCATGTCTCGAAAGCATGACTTAGGATATACGTTAGAGTTATACATAGCAATCATTCTAAGATAGGTACGTATACCTTAGGAAATTTTGAATAAAAAACTGTAATTTTTTGCAGGTATACTTAGAAATACATCTAATTTAAGATGATAGTAAAAATTTTATAGGTTATAATTAAATTTTTTTTGAAACATTTATGAAAAATATCAAAAAATATATAAATTTAAAAAATAAATATAAAAATGTGTGAATTATATTTGGATTAATGCTAAATTTCGAATTCCGGAAGAAGGAATCAAGTAAGTTTAATTAAAAAAAAGAGATATTAATAAATATATATCAAATTCAATTAACATTGAAGAGCTAAAATTTTGAAAGCTAATTTTTTAAAAACTACTCATACAATTTTTATAAAACTTGGCAGTTTGGCATAATTTGAGTCGTAAAAGTAAAATATGGGGAAAAAATTTCAGAAAAGGTCCGATTTTGTGTGAAAATACCTATATTAGAACAATGCTATATATAAATCTTTTACATATCCTAAGTTGTGCTTTCGAGACATGAAAAATACAAGTTGATTTTCATTAATTGGACCAGTAGAACAAGAGATATAGAACTGTCCCTACTTTTTTTCTTTGTGAAGTGTACACGAAATGCATCCATTATGCAATTAAATAGATTCATACACCTTTGGCAATAAAATAAATTATCATACAGCTTACCAATCGAATCGGTGCTGTCTGCACTAAAGTTGTTTCAGTAAGAGGAGCATCTCTCGATTCCATGAGACATATGCCTTTCCTCATGAGAGCTTGTACTATACCTTGGTGATCAAGGTTATGATAATTTGGGTCCGCATAAATGTTGACTAGGGCAAGGCAGTATAATTCAGCATTGGCTAATGAATGTACAATCTTTGGTTTCAATCGGCGAACTCTCTGCCAAAAAATAATATAGATTAGCAACATCATAATATTATTAAATTAAAATTTGTGAATAATATTTAAGAACAGTAAACGTGACAAAAGCAGACTGGAGACAGAAATTTAAAGAAACAATAAATACAAATTTTAATAATTGTTTTATTTTGAATCTTTCCATGTATCAATTTTAACAGAATAGCATTATAACTGTTTATGCGTTTGGTAATTTAATCATTCATGTAATCTGCTTTAATCTTTATATTACAGTCATTTAACTAAACTAGTCTTAAAATGCACAGGCCTTCAAAAAAGGCCGCTATAGCATTTACTTCTTTAAATATTGATTTTAAACATATATTTCCAATTACGAAGTTTATAAAAATGAAGTTTTGTTTCAAAAGCAATTTTGATATAACAAGTGTTCTAGAAATAAAAAAATAAATAAATAAAACTTAATTTCTAAATTTAGTTCTTGCAGAGCAGAAATTTTAATAATTGCACCTATAACTGGAATAAAATATTTATTGTGTTTTAATATATTAAAAAATATTTTTAAGTGCATGAGTTTTAAGCATTTTAAGTTTAAGTTTTTTCATGAAATTTGAAAATGAATTTTATTTATATCCCCATTTAATGCTTCTTACCTATTAAAATCGCAAATTTTGAACTTTATTTAGGAAGGAATTTCCCTCCCTCCAAGAATAACTTTGTAGAGACATTAGGTTATTTCGAAGCAGAAGACATGAAAAATGAGCAAAGCCCTCACCGGGACTCGAAACTCGGACCTCTCGAAATATGCACCAAATGTGCTGACCACTACACCATGAAGGCATGCTAAAGAAGGCGGACGAAATACCTTATATACTTTCTCTTTTATAGGGCGACTGGGGATTAGGGGACACAATCACCAAATCATGGTGGAGAATCATCATCCACCACCTCTTTTAGTTCAGGTGCCACTGTAGAGACATTACGCTATTTTGAATCGGGAGACATGAAATATGTCCCTCGCCGGGACCTGAACCTCGGACGTCTCAAATACATGCCTAATTGTGCTGACCACTACGCCACGAAGGCATGTTAAGAAGGTGGGAGAAATACCTTATAACTTTAATACTTCCATTTGGACAAAACAGCACTCAGTATTAGATTTGTAACTGGTCCCATGACATTATTAATTATTTATAATTGAATGATTTTTCTGGGAGAAAAATAGAATTTCTGCTCTTATTAAAATATAATGAATATTTTTATAATAGGATATCACTTTAGAAATAAAAAGTCGTCGTCTTTGAATATCATATACTGTATTTTTCTTACTCTAAGATACATCTTTTTTCCCTCAAATAAATGTTGCTTAATAAGGTGCACCTTAGAACCTAGACCCATAATTCCAATTTCCAACTATACTAGAGTCGCATACTTTCCCGAATTATTAATTTCTCCAAATTAATAATTTTAATTAGATATTGTTAATAAATTATTAAAAAATATTTGCTATATGTATTTTTTTAAGTTTGATTTCATTTATTATCTTTCCTTAAAAATCAAAACCTTTTTTTTAGTTGGTGGTGTTGAAATTAAATGCTGCATCTTGAAGTTTAAAAAATATATACACATGTAAGAATTTTGCATATCATTGATGGCAAAGATTTATCCACAAAGAAGCAAAAAACCTGAAGTCATAATGATACACTGTAAATGCAGAATGAATAAGTTGCAGTTATAGCCAGATTTAAATACAGTCAAAAGTCGTTAATCCGGACTCGTCGGGACTTCGGCGATTCCGGATTATCGATTTTTCCGGATTATAGATCATCAGTTTAAATCTGGTAAGATGGCATGCAGAAATTACAAAATTAAAAATATGAAACCGTAATTTATGAAATAAAGAACAATTATGATCTAAAGGGTATCAAAATTTACAAAAAGAAAAAGCTTAATATTTATTTGTTTACTTTATTAAACATTTCCTTCAATGTAAGTTGCTTCGTTTCATGTGATAATACTTTCTCTTTAATTCTATTAAACAGACATAATTTCTTGTTTAGTTACAAAGTTCCGCTGTTCAAGTCCTATAATTGCTGTGTTGAGAATACCGACTAATTTGTCAATCGAAATGTTTTCGTTTTCAATAACCTCTGGGTCACTTTCTTCACTATCGGAAGCGAATTATAATGACGAGGAACTTGATTTAAATCATATCAAAGACGGAGTATATCGAGATGAAATACTACACTTAGTACGGAATTATAAACCAAATAAAATAAAAACATCTGCTCTGAAGATAAGGATAGTGCTGACAGATCAACTTCCAATCCCCAGCGTGAAATTGATAAACAGATTTTGGATTTCAAAACATACTTTCGCTTTGTAGATACAAATTACATATTAGTAAATATATATCGGAAATTCTATTTGACATAATCTTTCTAATTTATCATAATCTAATAATGACGTTTCTGCCCCCCCCCTCTGCTGCAGAGCAGCGTGAAATTGATAAACAGATTTCGGATTTCAAAACATACTTTCGCTTTGTAGTAAATATATATCGGAAATTCTATTTGACATAATCGAAAGTTCAAGCTTACTTTTATAAAATTGCTCTAACAGTCTGCAAAAAATAATAAGCCGGATCCAATTCGAAGATTAAGGAACAACGCAATCTGCAACATTAACTGTTAACTTTAACTTAGCGTATAACTCCGTTACACATTAGTATATTAAGATAACTTTAGCTTAGCGTATAACTCCGTTACACATTAAACGCGCATGCGCACAAACATATTCGCAGCTGTAAGAGTCTTATGCGCTCTCGTAAACGCCTGTGCGCCTGCGTGAACGCGACGCATGCGCAGAAAGTTTGTAGCTTTGAGGTCCGGATTATAGATCATTCCGGATTATGGGTGTCCGAATTAACGACTTTTGACTGTATTTAATATATCTGAGATCTTATAATCTGATATGAGATTAAATATCATTCAGGCAATACAGCAGGAATTAAAGAAATTGCGTAAAGATTATTTGGAATCATAGTCAAGAAAATATGTTCTTTTTTCATTGCATTTTGAGAATTTCAGATCACTTATGCAAATATGAAATTGTTAAATTTCTAAAAAAGGATTATGATAGGCAAACTATGTATACTTTTAAAGGTTGCTGTAAATTATTCTATAATTAGGGACCCATATATTTTCTTTTACAGAGAGAATAGAAAAAATTATGAATGACCAATTCAAGCTAAGACGCTTTTATTGTTCATACATGCTATTTCCTGGTCTTAGAAAAATTATTGAATTTTGTTGATTTAATGATATGTCATAATTTCCATTCATTCTCTTTGAAAAATTCTATTATTGTGTTCACAACATGTGAATCAAGGTGTCTCATCTGTGACATTATCACGAGAGAATGATACATTTGTGTTATAGAACTCCCGTAGCGGACGGCTCGAAATGGCAGAAGAAGCGCAAGAGACTCACACGCTGTGTCATGCTTCAGTACTTGAAATTTCACTTTAGACATTATTAATATCTCACATGTACCAATTAACATTCATGAATGTTTCATTCATTCAAACAAGCTTGTGCAAAAGATACTAACCATTTGGACTGATTTTCTTTGAAGAATTAGATTACAGATGAAGAGTGACTAGTGTGCGTCACAAAGAACCCACAGAAAAAAAAGTAAACAAGTTTTATATTTCTACATTTGATTTAGTCTTGAAATACCACACAGCATCATAAAAGATAGCTAAGCACAAAATTAACAAAAATCAATATTGAAAAATATATAAAACCTAAACTACTCCAAAGAAATTACTTCATCCTATTAAACATACAATTCTAAATATAGTCTTTTTATCGAGCTCAAATTGATTAATCTATTTAAATTGAACCATATTTTCTGCATCTTAAATAAAAGACAGAAGTATAAAAAGATGGGGGAGGGCACAAATAAATAGGATATTTCAGAAGAATGATATAAACATTAAGATCCTCCCACAACAATAACAACAAAATATACTTTTATCTAAACCACGCACTTATCTGTTGTTATACATTCGAAACAACTCTTCAATTACAGATTCAATGCTTTCTCAAATTTTCAAATTCCTATTATGTTACAGAATATTTCTATAATAACTTTACCCAAAATGACATTTCATTTTTTTTGACATTTTAATTCAACATTATTTTCACTAATTTATAAATATTTAGCAATCTACATTTTGGTGTTTCCAGACAGTTTATTTAATGAGGAGGAATTACGACTAGATAATGAACTAAGAAAATTCTTTAAAAATCAAGCAGGATATGATTTAGTTCCCTCCTTTTAAATAGGCTTTTTATTTAATTTACAACTCTCTTTCATATAACAAGTGTCTGGACTTAAATTTCAGGCAAATACATGCTTGCATTAAAACAAATGTAAATTTTGTACGAAATTCATTAGGGTAATGTCATCATGCATAACATATAAGGATCAACAATTTTTGAGGTATCATAATTCTTCTTGTCAACAGATTATATATGAAAGTTATCCAGGAATTAATGTTTGCCATAGTTAATCGAATCTTGTAAAGATTCAAATGGAAATGCATATTGACTCCCAGCGTGCTCTGCTCATCAAACAATGCCATTTGCATTGGTATTGTTGCAATGTGCTATGTATAGTCAGTGCTTCCATTTTTGAGAACAGTGAACAAATCAGCAGTGGAAATTCATCGACAGATAACAGACATCTAAGCCCCAATTTGACGAGTGGCAGCAAAGTGCATAAGTGGGTGAAAGCTTAAAAGGATGGACGGGAAAATGTCCATGATGAATCACGATCAGACCGACCATCAGTTATCACAGAAGATTTGGTCGATACCATGGATGAAAAGATTCATCAAGACCAGTGATTCACAATTTTACTTTAGCATCGGAGTTTCCAAACATGCAAAAACTGTCTCTGAAAAGTTTCAGTTTCACAAATTATGCGCATGTTGGGCTCTCAGCCTGCCTACTGAGGAAACATGAAAAAAATGGCTTTGGATTTTTTGGACCTACATCATAAGGAAGGTGATCAATTTTTAAAGATGATTGTCACAGGGAACTAGACTCTCACATAACTCCAGAATCTAAATGTCAATGACATCACATTGCATCACCAGTCAGAATCAAGGCCAAGCAGGATTATGGCAAGTGTGTTTTGGAATAGAAGGGAGTCTTATCAGTCGAATTTATGCAGAAAGAGGCAACACTAAATGCAGCAACTTATTCGCTACCCTGACTGAAATTAGATGTGTAATACAGAATAAACTTGGCCTTCTGACGTCTGGAATTTTGTTGCTGCATAACAATGCCAGACTTCATTCTGCCATTCACGCCCAAAATCTGATCAGATCTTTTGAATGGGAAAATATTGACTACCATACAATTCAGACTTAACAGAGTGATTTTCACTTGTTACACTACCTAAAGGAGTTTCTCATCAGCAAGCACTTCGCTACATATGACGAGGTGAAAGAAGCAGTTCCAGTTCAAAAATGGTTATTCTCACAGGTGGCAGATGTCTATGACTTAAACACACAAAAGATTGCAAAATATTATGACAAACATTTAAACAAATATGGAAACTACATAGAAAAATAGAGAAACATGAAAGGTTCTAAATAAAAAAATATTCTTTGAAAAAGTCTGTGGTGGTTTATGTTTTATAATAAATTGGAACTTACTTCCAGAATAACTAACGAATGTATATAACGCACACCCATGTTGATTTCAACATGAAAAGTCTGGTATATGAAAACAACATGGGAAATGCAATTTAATACAATAATACTTCCTGGATTAAGCTTTCTTAGACAAGTTAAACAACTTACATCTTGGTCTCTGTAAAATGGCTCTCTTAAGTCATTCGGTATCACTCCCTCAAATGCCTTTGATAAAAGCCAGAGAATCGAAGCCTTTTCCTTTGCCTGTAAAAAACACAGATGAGAAAAATTAATTAAAAAAAAAAAGAATTTGTTTAAAAGAAATCAGACATGAATGATAGATAACTTTGTATGTATATTTTCCAATCACAAATAATGGTGATAACATCTCTTAATCTATGATAATGCATACGTCTAAAAAAGGCAGTCTCATAATTAAATCTTACAAACTATAAACTATTATATTAAAAAAAATTCAAGCAATTTATAAAATAAATATTGACAAACTTCACTAGATTTCCCTATTTTAAAAATGTGATCATAATTTTGGTTTACTTCAATTTATACACTGGCACAGTTTGCAAAATGATACAGTTGATACGTATAATTGAACGAATCTTATAAACTATAAATTTATAATTAAGACAACAATAACACGCCGAATAAATACTAATTCAAAGTCAAACAACAAAAATCAGCGTTAATTTTTACAAAACTTTCACAGGACTAGTTTCGATGGTTTTTAAACCGAACCATCATCTTCAGCTGCAAAACCGCAAATGAACAAGATAGGAAATAATGTTTAGATAAGATAAGAAAGCCTGGACAAGAATAAGCAAGTGGCGCCATCTGTTGGCGAAACCAGAACTAAACATAATTTCTCTAAAAAGCCGAAGGCAAATTTGGATTGGAATTAGGATCGTTAACTAGAACAGAAAGATTTTTATGAATGTGAAATGCCTCTAGAAAATCCAGTTCTCCAATGGAAGATGTTTTTGAATAATTTTGGCAGCAGAAAATTGAAAGTGTGATTTTTTTCGGACCAACAATGTTGAGCAACAGAAGACTTCTGTGTTTCCTTTTTTCTAACATATGCCTCATGTTCTTTGACTTGACGCGAAATTTTAAGGCTCTCTTAGTTTGGCCAATGTAAATTAAACCGCACTGGCAAGGAATCCTATAAATACCCAGGAATTCATATCCGGAATGGGGTCCTTGAGTATAGAAGTTGGAATTTTATTGATGGGAGAGCAAACAACCGAAAGTTAAATTTCTGCAAAATATGTGCAACTTTATAGCTAATTGATGGAAAGAAGGGAATGACAACAGAATTTTTATAATCTCCTAAAATAAGAGTGTGGCTTTTAGTGTGTTGAGATGAGAATTTTTTAAAACTGCTTGATTAATAATGTTGGGTGAAAAGCCCCTGTCAATAGCTATTGCTTTTAAATAATTTAGTTCTTCATCAAGGGCTAGTTTGGAGGAGCAAACTTGAAGAGCACGGAAAACATAGGAATAAAATGAAGCTAACTTTGTTTAGTCGGATGACATGATTTAAAGTGTGGTGGAAGGCAAACCGATGAAGGTTTACGGTAAACTGTAGTACTGAAGTTGGATGTGTTACGTGTGACCAGAATGTCGAGAAACGGAAGAGAATTGCAAGTCTCAAGTTCAAAAGTGAACTGAATAGCAGGATCAATAGAATTCATTGTTGAAAGAACTCTATTTAAAAAATCATCTTTATTACCTTCAAACAGGGTAAAAGTATCGTCTACGTAGCGGAAACCATGCCGGGAAGTTTAAAGTTTCAAACAATTTTGATTCATAATAATGCATGTAGATATCAGCCAGGATGGGACTGAGGGGGCTTCCCATGGCTAATCCCTCAGTTTGCTTGTAATATTTATTTTGGAAAACAAAATGTGTTTGTTTCAAACAGAGTTGGAGTGAGAGAAATTAGCTCATCAATTTCGATGCAAGAGAAATGAAATTCGCGAAGTCTGGTTTCTAGACATCTTAATGCACCCTCCACTGGGACATTGGTGAATAATGATTTTACATCAAAAGAAACCATGAGTAATTACGAGAGAAATGTTTTAAAAACCTTTTTTACAACTCTATTGAATTTTTTATGGTGTAAATGTTATTGTCTAATAGAGTGAAAATCTAGAAACTAAATATTTAGCTAATGGATACGAGGCATACCTAAAATTTGATACAATAGGCGGAAAGGAATACCACTTTTATGAATTTTGGGAAGAGCATATAATCTGGCACAATTCGCAACAGATGGGATAAGCGAATGTTTTAAGTTGCTTGAAATGATTTGCGAAGATTTGATCGCAGTTTTTATTTTGGATAAGTCCGAAGGTGAAGGATCTTAGGGATCGGATTATATGGTCCTTCGTTAAGAGTTAGTGACACCATCGATGTAAGTTTCTTATCCATGACGACTATCTGGCCACCTTTGTCGGCCTTTGAAATGACAATAATATCCGGGTTAGAATGAATCTCTCGGCATTGTAGCTCTTTCTCCTCGCAGTCAGATTTGGTTTCAAAGGTTTATTGAATTTCACATTATGAGCGATAAGATGCCTAATCATTTCTTTCTGTGAATCTGAAACTTTACTGAACTTGAAAGCTTTTTCGATAGGAGCCAAAATCTTTGGAATCGAGGGTTTACAGGTTTGTGAGAAGTTAAAATTATTTTAGAATTCTCTCTGTTCTTCTGAAAGACTAACATTAGAAATATTAACTATTGGCTTGATGTTTACAATGGGAAGATTTTTTGAACTACTTGAACTGGAAGACTGTAAAAGTAGTTTTTCGAATTTAAACTACAAGGGTGTTTTATGACGGTTAACTGCATTCTCCGTTCTAGACCAGACTTTTTGTTCAAGGGCAGTGAATTTTGGATATGTTTTTTAGCGAGTTCCAGATGAAGCTTATAGAGTTCATGTTCAATTTGGACAATTGTTGACGTGTATCCCTTATCACGGACCGAAGTAAGGCAAGTTTGCAATTTAACATTCTGTTAAATGCAAACTTGCCTTACTTCGGTCCGTGATAAGGGATACACGTCAACAATTGTCCAAAATTGAACATGAACTCTATAAGCTTCATCTGGAACTCGCTAAAACATATCCAAAATTCACTGCCCTTGAACAAAAGTCTTGGTCTAGAACGGAGAATGCAGTTAACCGTCATAAAAAACACCCTTGTAGTTAAATTCGAAAAACTTACTTTTACAGTCTTCCAGTTCAAGTAGTTCAAAAAATCTTCCCATTGTAAACATCAAGCCAATAGTTAATATTTCTAATGTTAGTCTTTCAGAAGAACAAGAGAGAATTCTAAAATATAATTTTAACTTCTCACAAACCTGTAACCCTCGATTCCAAAGATTTTTGGCTCCTATCGAAAAAGCTTTCAAGTTCAGTAAAGTTTCAGATTCACAGAAGAAATGATTAGGCATCTTATCGCTCATAATGTGAAATTCAATAATAAACCTTTGAAACCAAATCTAACTGCGAGAGAAAGAGCTACAATGCGCGAGAATTCATTCTAACCCGGATATTGTCATTTCAAAGGCCGACAAAGGTGGCCAGATAGTTCCGTCATGGATAAGAACACTTACATCGATGGTGTCACTAAACTCTTAAACGAAGGACCATATAATCCGATCCCTAAAGATCCTTCACCTTCGGACTTATCCAAAATAAAAAACTGCGATCAAATCTTCGCAAATCATTTCAAGCAACTTAAAACATTCGCTTATCCCATCTGTTGCGAATTGTGCCAGATTATATGCTCTTCCCAAAATTCATAAAAGTGGTATTCCTTTCCGCCCTATTGTATCAAATTTAGGTACTGCCTCAGAATCCATTAGCTAAATATTTAGTTTCTAGATTTTCCACTCTATTAGACAATAACATTTACACCATAAAAAATTCAATAGAGTTTGTAAAAAAGGTTAAAAACATTTCTCCTCGTAATTTACTCATGGTTTCTTTTGATGTAAAATCATTATTCACCAATGTCCCAGTGGAGGGTGCATTAAGATGTCTAGAAACCAGACTTCGCGAATTTCATTTCTCTTGCATCGAAATTGATGAGCTAATTTCTCTCACCCAACTCTGTTTGAAACAACACATTTTGTTTTCCAAAATAAATATTACAAGCAAACTGAGGGATTAGCCATGGGAAGCCCCCTCAGTCCCATCCTGGCTGATATCTACATGCATTATTATGAATCAAAATTGTTTGGAAACTTTAAACTTCCCGGCATGGTTCCGCTACGTAGACGATACTTTTACCCTGTTTGAAGGTAATAAAGATGATTTAAATAGAGTTCTTTCAACAATGAATTCTATTGATCCTGCTATTCAGTTCACTTTTGAACTTGAGACTTGCAATTCTCTTCCGTTTCTCGACATTCTGGTCACACGTAACACATCCAACTTCAGTACTACAGTTTACCGTAAACCCTTCATCGGTTTGCCTTCCACCACACTTTAAATCATGTCATCCGACTAAACAAAAGTTAGCTTCATTTTATTCCTATGTTTTCCGTGCTCTTCAAGTTTGCTCCTCCAAACTAGCCCTTGAGAAGAACTAAATTATTTAAAAGCAATAGCTATTGACAGGGGCTTTTCACCCAACATTATTAATCAAGCAGTTAAAAAATTCTCATCTCAACACACTAAAAGCCACACTCTTTATTTTAGGAGATTATAAAAATTCTGTTTTGTCATTCCCTTCTTTCCATCAATTAGCTATAAAGTTGCACATATTTTGCAGAAATTTAACTTTCGGGTTGTTTTGCTCTCCCATCAATAAATTCCAACTTCTATACTCAAGGACCCCATTCCGGATATGAATTCCTGGGGTATTTATAGGATTCCTTGCCAGTGCGGTTTAATTTACATTGGCCAAACTAAGAGAGCCTTAAAATTTCGCGTCAAAGAACATGAGGCATATGTTAGAAAAAAGGAAACACAGAAGTCTTCTGTTGCTCAACATTGTTGGTCCGAAAATCACACTTTCAATTTTTCTGCTGCCAAAATTATTCAAAAAACATCTTCCATTGGAGAACTGGATTTTCTAGAGGCATTTCACATTCAAAAAAATATATTTCTGTTCTAGTTAACGATCCTAATTCCAATCCAAATCTTCACCTTCAGCTTTTGAAGAAATTATGTTTTAGTTCTGGTTTCATCAACAGATGGCGCCACTATGCTTATCTCCTTGTCCAGGCTTTTTTATCT